TTATGTATGTGCATAGTGTAAGTTTGTTGAAATTATTTTTAAGATGGCTGATAGAATATTTCATTTAGACCATTGCTCGGGTATCCAGGTGAGTTACTATAATAACTCACCTGGATCCACCGAGCCCAAAAAATTTTCCGCACGCCGTAAGTTTTTCAAAATTTTGATAGATTAGCTGTAGGTGTATTTTGAATACTGTAATATGTATCTGTTTCAGGTTGTTTTAATTGCAACGGCTACGGACATATAGCCCGTAAATGTGAGTATTTTATATTTTATTATTATATTGCACACGTTTCGTGCAAATCGCGGTAAGATAGTCCTAAGCCTAGAAAGTCTGGCATATATATATATATGCAACAATAATTACATTTATTTTATTAATTATTAAATTATTTTATTATATTATTATGCATCTAATTTACTATAGGTATTTATCGGTACATTTATTTGATTAAAAAGGAGTTACATAAAGGTAGTTATTTAAAAAAAAATTTATCTGGTAATATGACATTAAACAATAATTAATTATAACAGAGTGAAAAATCATTCCATAAATAATATTCCATACATTACTCTTATAAAATATACAAGTATAGTCGCAATGTGCAATAATTGTCTTTTGTCATTTGTACATAATTAAAAAAATGTTTCAAGTTTAAAAAATTTAAAAATGATTTAGTAGAATGGAGTTCTAATGTTGTGGTTAACTGCCATTAGAAAATCTAATATACTTGTATCATTATTACTATAACTACATGAACGATAAAACCACATTTCTAATAATAAAATGTTGCAGATACTGAGATAGAGTCTATACAACGAAATATAATACCTTCATCATTTTTAAGATAAAGTCAAATGTCAATTATTTTTATTACTATATAGGTACTTTAATCTCTTCTATTTCAAATGTATGTTTATACCTAAATAGTTTAAAATATTGGGTTTATTATTTAATTAAATATTATTACGATATAAAAGGTATATAAAAATATTGGCTATTGATAAATAATAATATATTGTTTAAAAATTAAAAATGATGAAAAGTATACTTGAATAAAAAAACTAAAAAAGTGTTATGTATTTAGTTGATACCGGGCTTTTTTTTCCGAATACCGTTAAATCAGGTGTTCTACACCTTATTGCTGTCCGATTGCGTGAAACATAAAAATTATAAGTCCACACCGAAAAATTCTAGATTTCGCTTCGCAAAAAAAATTATGAATTCGGTGCCACTGACGTATAGATAATTTATTTTTGTCGTTAGGTAAATTATTTATTTACAATTGATACTATAATTGGGAGGGAGCGGGGGGAGGCAACATTTTTTGGTTAATGTAAAATTACTATATTGGAATCACTGTCCACCATATAGAATGATACGTATGGTAATATATTAAATTATCAGACACACATATTGTATTTTGAAATATAGTAATATCAGTATCCGTAGAGTTTTTAAAAAAAATTTGGGAAATTATGGGTCTGTGGGGCAGGGTGCTGGGCCCCAAAACCCCCCTGGATCAATCTCTGACCACATCATATTTTTACTTTTACTTATTTAGGCATCTAGGTATTCAGGACTTTTTCACCGCAGACTTTTTATTTCGGACTTTTTGGCAGTACCGTTTAGTGTTAATATAATAATAAGTAATATATTTAATGTTATTTTTAATTTCAGGCAACAGGCCTAAAAAGGGCAAAAAAAACAAAAAAAACAAAAAAAAACAAACCGACGGGGACAACGGAGGCGGCCTCAGGAGATCCAGCGGATTATATGCATGCAGTTGAGCAGCAGGGACCTGAAACGGTGCCTGCAAATGACGATAAATAAAGTAAGGAATACTATTTACATATTATCATCAGTTCTTATCGAGCACTCGTTCGAAGAGGTTGTTTGATCATAGTGCGTTAAAGTGTTGTGCGTTTTATCGTATATTTGTGCCGTCGTTATCTTTATTACTCTAATACCATACCTACCATGCCTTGCGGTAAATGTTATAACAATATTTCCCCGTCTAAATCGGTAGTATGTACAAATTGTTATTCAACGTTCCATCCAAATTGTACAAAACTAAAAACATTTACAACCTATAGGGCTGTCAAAGAAAGTTGGATTTGCGATCCCTGTAATGAAAAATTTAAACAAAGTGCATCGTGTAAGAATTTAGAAAACGAATTTCAAAAGGACGATTGCAACGACGTGTATAACCTTGTTTCGGTTAAGGCTGACTTGAAGTTAGTAATTAATCAAATTGAATCTCTTTCTGACAAAATGAAAAATTTCGAAAAATCAATTACTTTTTTTTCTGACTCAATTGATGAATTTGGGTCTAAGTTAGAAAGTGCTTTGAACAAAATCACTGAAATGGAAAACAAAGTGCAAGTTTATGAATTACGATGTAATAAATTGGAGACAGAATTAAATATTCTAAAAGTGACAATTAATAATACTGAACAATTGACCCTAGCCAATAATATAGAAATAAGTGGAATTCCTAAAACACCAAATGAAAATATATCTGAAATAGTAAATACTGTGGCTCGAGTGTTAGATTGTCAATTAAATAGTAATGACGTTATTGATTCCTATAGGGGTAAATCACGACAAAATAATGATGGAAAAATAGTCGTACAATTTAACACAAAGGCAGTTAAAGACTCACTCATAAATAGTATGAAAACTCGTTACAAAAATAAAAATCCACTTATGGCAAAAGATATTCATTCAAATTTCAGTAACTCTAAGGTGTTCATTAACGACCAGCTTACACACAACAACAAAAAACTATTATGGCTGGCTAAAGAAATCGCAAAATATTACAGCCACAAATACACATGGGCCAACTTGACAGGAATATTCGTTAGAAAAGTAGAAGGAGGACAAATTTTCAAAATTCAAAACTTAGAAGCGTTACAAAAAATGGATGTTGAAAAAAAAATAACGGCATTATGGGATTACTAATTATAAGTAAACACTAAAAATATTTTATTTCTTATCGTCTTAGGTATCTTTATATAATATGAATAATTTTAAAAATTTCGATTTTAATTTTTTAAATGTAAATAATGATTTAAAATATAGTACACAGATTATAAATAGTTTAAATAATATTGTCAAAAATAGTAATGGTTATTTAGTACTAAGCATGAATATTCGAAGTATTCATAAACATTTTAATGAACTTATTATCTTTTTAAGTACTTCAGATATTAAATTTGATATAATCTGTTTGTTTGAAACGTGGTTGGAAAAGGACACTTTCGACTTTCATATTGATGGTTTTAAAAGTTATAATTATTATAAAAAATTAAATAAATCCGATGGTATAACAGTATTTATTAGAAACTCATGTAAAGTTAATTCAGTACATTTAGGGTTGATTAACTATTGTAGCTCTATGAATCTTAATATATCTATAAATGAATCTGTTCTTAATTTGATTTGTGTATATCGATCTCCGAGTTTATTACAAGAACATTTTCTAGATAGTTTAGAAATATTCCTGGATGATATTGATAATACCAAATCGTATATATTATGTGGTGATATTAATATTGACTTAAATAAAGTAGACGTAAACACTGTTAAATACCAAAACATTTTAAGTTATTATGGATTTAAATCCTGTATAAATGAAGTTACTAGGGTGAATGTTACGAATGGGTCCGCATCTTGTATTGATCATTTTTTCCTAAAACACACCAATGTTTTTAATAATATTATGGGATATGTGTGTCAAAATAGCATAACTGACCACTATAGTACAATACTATCTTTTAATAAAATTGGTTTAGTCAGACAAAAAAATAACTTTGTTGATGAGGAAAATATCGACTATGTTCTTTTTGACAAACTTAAAAACATCCTTAACCAAGAAAATTGGGAAACCGTGTTAAATTCATCAAATGTAGACACTGCAATTGAATTTTTTTTACCTATAATAGAAAATTCAATAAATAACTGTAAGGTAACAAAATGTATACGTGTACCTAAAT